CAACAAAAAAGTTTTAGAAAAGATCCACCGCAAATTTTTCAAACACAATGTGAACATATGGACTCCAATCTTACCATGTGCAAAGCACTAAATTTGGCTGTGTAGAATACAAGAGATTATGCCTTTCCTCAAAGAACTTATCCTATATTGGGAAGTTAGGGGGAGAGAGATGAGGCAGAGGGATCGAGCTGCACAGAGAGGGAGAGAACATCTGATCTCATTTCACTAGGCCATGTTAAGTAGGCCAGCCATAACCCCAGTACTCTGGGAGGCTGAAGCAGGACGATCAAAATTTCAAAACCAAGCCTGAGCAACTCAAGGAGGCCCTGTCTCCGAAAAATAAAAAGGGACAGGGATGTAGCTCACTGTGAAGGCCCTGGATTCAATCTCCAGTACTGCAAAAAGAAATAAAGAAAAAAATTAACTGGCACAAAATTTACAGGTTAATGAAGTGGAGGGTCTAGAAGAGAACACAGACTTTAAAACTATATTGTGAAACAAAGTCAAATTGGGATGCAGGTTTTTTTTTTTAGGTACCGGGGATCAAACCCAGGACCTTGCACTTGCCCGGCAGGCACTTATGCCACTGAGCTATCTCCCCAGCCACAGGGACATAGATTTTTATAAAGGCTACACTATGCCCACAGGCAAAAAGAATGTAGCCAAAAAGTTTGCAGAGCTCCAAATAAAAACAGAAAGTATTTATTCACAATTTCCTATATTTTAATCTTCCTAGTATTTCAAGTCATTTAATCTTCACAACAAACTTGACATGGGCCCTACTGTTATTTCCACCATACACAGAGGTGCAGAGATGGGTTTATACAGCTCAGAAGTGCTCTGGGCATGAACTGTAAAACCAGAACACCCGTGTTAGAAGCCGGCTTCCACCATTAACATCAGCCGCAGGACTTCAGGCAACTACTTTAGCTCCCTGTGCCTCAGTGTACTCTTACTTAAAAGCAGAAAGCATGGAGGGTGTAGCTCAATAAGAGCACTTTACATTGCAAGGTCCTGAGTTCATTCCAAAGCACATAAAATAAAGAGAGAATAATACTAGTAACCTTCATCATAGGGTTGTTGTGAAGACTAAGTGATTTAATGCATGCAAACCACTTAGAACAGTTTCCAGCAGAATGTACTCATTAATATTAGATATTACTATAATGACAGAATAATATCTTCCAGGAAAGGCAGACTAGAATTGTCTTCCCATTTGTATTACTGTACATCTTTGTCCCTTTATGTTCCTGAGGGCTATTTGTAGATTAGATTGCCATTTTACATGGGTCTAAGACTGTGCTCCCTTTTGAGGTACCTGGTACAGAACTATTTTTCTTAATTTTTTAATTTTTTTGTCTTTTCGAGACAGGGTCTGGCTACTCAATTCAGGCTGGCCGTCAGCTAACTTTGTAGCCCATACTGGTCTCAAACTCACAATGATCCTTCTGCTTCAACCTTACAGGTTGTTTGCCAATCTTTGCAGAGGCTGACATTTTTCCAGGAAATTTAGCAGATCTTATTACAACACTGGCAGGAGTTAAATGATTTGATTTGATTTGATTTGATTATTATTTTTTTTT